AATTGAGTGATTTTCTTGTTAGGCGCTCAAAAAAATGTTTTTTTGAACAGTAAAAAGTTTTGTGTGTGATATTTTAACTAAATGTGTATTTTTTACAGTACAAAATTATACCAGATTATGTTTGTTGAAACTCATTTGAAAAACGAACTTCTTGCTCATCAATTTTGAGCATAAGAAATCGAAAGAGTCGCTTATTTGCTAAACCCATGAAAATACTCAATACTAACACATACCCAATGTTACGTAAGATATGGTGAATAAGTTGTTAATTTGAATTAAAAATAAATATACGCCAAATTTATTTAAAAATTTGAGTGTGTTTTTTTTTCATTAAAAGTGCTCTCTATAGAACTCTATGAAATTAATAGTACTAAATTTATATTTTTCTTTCGACTTTTACATAAAAAATTAAAGTCTTTAATAAAAAAAAAATATATATATACACAAATAAATATAAATTTCGTTTGAGTGCTTTACAAAGTAGTCATAAAAATCTTAATGCTGCTTTAGACTTTTACACGAAAAGTTAAACTTTTTAAATTGATTATATAATATCAAAAACAAAAAAATAAATAAATAAAATAAAAATTGAAATAACTCAATTGGGAATTAACTCAGTTTTTTTGCAAGCAATGCATAAAAGTTTTCAAAGCTTAGCATTTAAGCTTTAAACGAAAGCAATCAAATGTTAAATGAAATAATCCTTCTACAATTTGTTTTAAAATTCAAAAATTAAATTTTTTAAAAAGTGCTTTTTAATCATAAAAATCTGTGATGTGCTTTTTCAGAAAGCTCTTTCTGTGCAATGTGTTTTTTACATAATTGATTGTTTTACAGTTTCATTTCAGTGTTGTATGTTACGAGAGCGATTATGTGAATTGTACGTGAGCGCAATATAGTATATAGTTTGCGTCTATGCTGAGTGAAATCGTTTGTGTCGTTAGATTTATACTTTGTTTGCTCGTTTGCTCATTTGTCTCGCCTAGCTGTACATGTTTGCCGTTATTTAAATGTATAGTGCATGACCTTCGAGTTATTGCGCTTTGCATAATTTGCTCATTTACTCAGGTTGTTTGTCTTTTGAGTAAATAGTCTTTATTTTGTCTATTAACACATCTACGCCTGGTTTGTGTCTACGCTAAGTTGATTTTATCCTGTTTAACTACCTTCTCTCACACTCAACCAATGGAAAACTCTGTTTCTCTCGTCACGGTTGTCGGTTTTGTTTTTAAGTTTTTGTTGTTGTTATTTTATTTTTTGCTGTAATATATAGTGAGTGCTTTTTTTCGTTTTTTGCTTGCTTTGTTTAGTTTTGCTTTTAGTGATTTTCTGTAATTTTCTCTTGTGCTTCTTGGTTTTCTGTTTTGCGCCTTATTTTTATTTAAAAATAAAATTTAATATTTTTTGCTCTACTATTTCTTACATACATATTTATAAATTTACACACCTAAGCATTACTTGTTTGTGTTTGCAAATTTTTATTTATATTTATTGTTGTGGTTTTTTGTTTTCTTTTCTCTGCGGAAAATTGTGCTTTTAAATGCAAGTATGTAGTTGTATATGCTGTTTACCTCCCTCAAAAAGCGCCATGTAGATATTTTTTTGCTTAGAAAAAATCTGACTTGTTGCTTTTTTTACTGTTGTTATTGCAATTTTGGAATAGAAGTTGACTACCGCGTGTATTTTTAGTGCTTATGGTATATTGTTAAGTTTTTTTTTCAGTGTATTTTATTGTTTCCGTTTCTCCACAGTTTTTGTTTGTCTAATTATTATTACTAGTATATTTTTTGGAATTGAAAACATTTTATGTTATTCTGCTGCTTAATTAGCGTGTTTTATTTGATATTTATATATATATATATATATATTTATTTTATATATATATATGTATATGTTTATATGTATGCATTAGTAATATACTTTCTTTTTATAATTTATATATATTTTTTAAATATTTTTCTAGCCCTTCATGCCTTCTAAGCAACTCTTTTTTCAGCTTCCTTCCTTTATTATTATTATATTTCGTTTTGTTTTTTGTTTTTGTTTCCATTTTTATTTTTAATACTTTTTTTTAATCTAATATGCGATAAATTTTGTATATATTTATTATCGCAAAAAATCTTTTCGTAGGTATGTATGTTAAGTATGTTTGTTTAATTGTTTTTGTGATTTGTTTGTGGCATGTTAAGTGTGTATACTCTTGTCACTGTCAGCTACCATTTCATCAGCATGATCTTTATATATATTATATTATATAAATTGTACTCATTTCTTAGTTTGTCTCTCACGCAAACTCTGCACTCAGCCAGTATAGTTTTTTCTTGTTCATATTTATTTAAAACAATTTTGTTTTTTCAAATTTTTTTTTAACATGTACATATATATTTAACATTGGATTTTCGTATACATATACATATATAATTTATTTCATTTTTTGCTTTAATTACAATACATATATAGTAATATTTTGTAATAGTTGACATATTTTAAGTCTATATATATTTTGCTATATTTGCTTGCTGGAACAAGTGTAGCTTGTAAAATCCAGCAGTTTTCTTAATATTTTTATATTTTTAAATTTTTTATTAAATATTTTTTATTTTTCATATTTCCGTCACCAGTAGTTACACCAAAAATGCATGAAAGCCTTTATTTATTATTTTTATTTTTAGACTGTTATATGTCTAAAAATAGTTTTTTTCATATAAGTGTTGTTGTATGTATTCATATAAGCACGTTTTTGCTGCAAATTTAATTTGGGGTACTGTGAGTATGTTCTGTGTCTGCTATTTTTTTGTCACACTGTGTAATCTTGTTTAAAGTGTATATATGAATTTTCATGCCATATGTGACTCTTTGTATGTAGTGATGTTTGTATATAGTATCTATATATATTTTCTCCTCATCCGCTCCACTTGCTCGTCTTTTCTTCGTAAAACTTCTCCTTAAATAATTTTTATTAATTTTTCAAAAATGTCCACTTTAGTTACAACAACAATATTTACTACATATAATTGAAATAAAATATATTTATTAAATGCTTAATAATTATTTACTACACATGTAAGCTTTTAACAATTGTTGAACGTCATTTTGTTTGCTTGATAAATTATTTAATATATGTATATATATATAGTTTATGTATATTTTATATTTTTCAAATAATAATTGTTTTTCATCACATCTACACATATATTTATTTATTTATTTATAATTTTTGATATTTTAGACTCATACATATATATACGTTACATCCATATATAGTTTTATAATTTTGCCTTTAATTTTTTTAATATGAAACATAGTATAGTAAAAATTGTTAGTTTTTAAATAATATACGTTTTTTTAACTTGAAAGTTATATTTTGTCGAAAAGTAGGCGTTCTATACCTTAAAAAGTAGCTAGCTATAACTTCAATTAGGTTCTCACTGCTCGCTTTAACGCACGACACTCTCGCACTGTGCTTTAGTATCAACTCTATCCCTATCGCTCTCTCTCTGCACCTTAAAGCTCAACTCTACAGAAACCGTTTTTTTTTTGTTTTTGTTTTAGCTGTCGGAAAGTCAGTTTATGTGCTTTAAAGAAGTTTGTTTTGTTTATTGTTTGTTAGCTTCGTCTTTGTTGGTTGTCCACACTTTCGTTTAACAGACTTCAGACTTCCTGCTCCAGCTGTCTCTTATATCTTCACATTACTACCACACCTCTCATACATCAATTACCCCCGGTACCATTTCTATTTGAGTTTTTCTTTTTGCACTTTTCCTTGATCGCTGTTTTACGTCATCTCTGGCTTAAAACTATATTTTTTTTGGTTTTCGAATTTTTTAATTAAATATATTTGTTTTTGTACTATGTCACCTGCTGAACACCCGCCCGCTCGTCACTGGAGTGTAGGGTCAGTTTTATGTACTAGTTTATAGTCTCGGTAGTTCATAACTGTATTTTTATTTAGTTCGTTACCCCGCTCGTTGGTCCACTGTCCGATTTCGTCATAATTTGTGTATTTTTTAGGAACTTATAATACCATATCTTGTCTACTTCTCACAACTTTATTCGCTCTCCCACTCTCCGCTCACCGCCATTTATCCATCGAGGTAGAAGTTTATAAATTATTTGTTTTGGTTTGCTTTGTTACTGTTTTTCTTTGTTGTATATATAGTTTTCGCTCTATTTTTCGTGTTATTTTCTTCGTTTTATACAATCCTGTTCAAAACTGCGCTCCTGCTTTTTCGGTGATATCCATTTGTTGAAACCCCGTCTTAAAGTCATCTATAGCTGCTCTCTAAAGTATAATTTGCGCCATAAAATGTTGTGCGCAAGTTCCACAAATCTTTTGTTTTTAGAGTAAATCTTCTTTATATGAGAAAAACTAGATAAAGCGCTCCAATTTGATTTGTGCTTTTAGAGAAAGTTAAGCTTCGGTGTTAAGTATGTTTAAGTTGAAGCTTTGGAACGTTTTTTGCTGTTCAGTGTTGCTCAATTGAATAATTTTTAAGCTGCTGCAGAGCTTTCAGTTTTTAGGAGATTTTTGCAGTTTCTGTTTTGAAAATTTTCAACTAACTCGTTGATAGAGTCCTTGCAGTTAAACTTATGATTTGGTTCTTTACTTTATAACACTGCTTTTGTAATGCTTTTCGTTTGAAGATGGAGGCGTTTTTGTGAGAAAATTCTATTTTTGTCGAAAGTTTAACTTTTTTTGTTTGGCTTTCTTTTGTTAAGCGCGTTGGACTCTCGAGCTAAATTGCTGGCTTTTGCATTTGGGTCATTACGGCTTCAAGCTATATTTTGAAAAGCTTTCCTTTTTTTTGCGTTTTTAATCACCGTCGAAGATTTAGTTGCGTAATATTTCGCAGCTTCCGAAAGCCCTTTAGAACAGTTGTTATTTTTTAGAGGTTTTATTTATTTGACAGCTTCGTATCGCTTTAGGTTGTTTTGACTGTAGTTTTTAAAAGCTTTTCGAAAGTGTTTGAGTTTTTTTATTGAAATAAATTTTCTGTATATTCTCATTTACTGCTCTTTTATTTATGGAAAGCTCAGTTGGTTTGCGCTTTATAAGTTTCGATAAAGTTTCAAAAAAGCTTGGAAAAGATTTAGCGCATTCATAAGCTTTTTATTCGCACAAGTTTTTAATTTTAAAATTCTTTCAGTGTTTATAATTTGCTGTATTTTAGGTATATATATGCTTTGTTTTAAATTTACACCATCATGAAAATGTATGCAGCTTAAAAGAAATCTCAAAATTAGAACATAAAAGCTTGTGCATTACTTTTTGTAAATTTTTTTTGTTTTGTAATGCAAAGTATGGTTATGTTTGTGTATGTATGTAAATATTAATTAATTAATTATGTTACTATTATGCTCAATAGTTTTGAGTTTTATTTGACTTTCTTCTTGCTACTAAATATATGCTTTTTTTTCTTGCTTGCAGTTTTGGCGCTCAAAAATCGAACTTCGCTTTCATTTCGCGAATTATGTCTGAATTACAGCATTATTAATTGTTAATAATTACAACAATCAATTGAATTGATGAAACTTATGTACGTATACTTTTGAATTATATATATATACTGTATATATGTATTTAACATTTTTATGCATATTTACATATATAAATTTTTATTTTTTATATTTTTCATGTTTATGTTTATTAATGCATGTTTTGAAAAATTCTGCTGATTTCACTACTAAATATGCTTTTGATATTTTTTATATATATTTTGTTTGAGAATTTAATTTTTTACAATTTATGAACTTTCAACGTTTCATGAAACGACATTGAAATTTTGTGAAAATTCTGTTTTTTTGTTTTGATGCTTGCTATAAACGCTGAATATTTTGCATTACATAGCATATATGTATGTTTGCAGTATCTTTATATATTTAATGTTTTTTCCTTTTATTGAAATAACTTAATTTTATTTCTACCACATTTTTCTTTTTTTATTAATTAATTAATTAATTATTTTTTGGGATCTCAGTTGGTGATGGTGTTTCGAGATCGCCACAGTTATTGTAATATTGTTTTATATAAATAGTTTGTTTGCGAAAAAACTTGTGTAGTTTTGCTTTTAATTGTGTTTTCAAGTGTAATGTTTTTGTTGTTTGAGTTTCTCGCAAAAAAAAAACTCAAACTGAAACAAGTGAGAACTCAAAAATGCTTTACAACTTAAGAAAAGTAAGTTTAAGTCAGTTAATGCTTAAGCTTAGTAGAGCGTAAGTTCTCTATAGTATATATATATATATATGTATTTTTTTTCAATTATATATATATATAGTTATGCATGATTTTTAAATTCTGTTTTCAAACATGTTTTTGCGCATAAATTTAACGAACTTTTTACCTGTATATATTTGTATATAGTTATATTTATATTTAATTCTTTTAACTTTTGTGCTAATGATTAGTAACAATTTTCGAGAACGTTAATATATATTTATTAGTTTTGACTAGTATGCAAACTACATTTTACTTTATGTCGCCATTGATAGCATAACATTTGAATAATTTATTTAAATTTTATTTTAACGTGAGAATTTTTCAACTTTTTAATAATTAAATTTTTTTAGTTTTTTTTTATGCGTATTCTTCAACTATGCTGCATATTTATAAATGTTATGCCACGATGTGATTTTATTTTTTGTGAAATTTCACTTTATTTAGTAATTTCTGTGTATTTCATGAAATTTCCATTTCAGTGTTTTCATACATTGTTCATGTTTTCAATGAAAACTGCAATTTTGTGGTTTTAAAATTATTGAAAATACATAAATTTTGCTATATCTGTATGTAAATATTGTATGTATGCCTAGAACTTTGGAAAAAAAAAAATTTAAAACACTTTTCTGATTTTCACTGAAATTTCACTATTTCAATTTCACTATTTTTTTGTTGTCTTAGTTGTATTTGCGCGGAACTGAATTTAATTTTATCTCCAACTTGCCAATTTAACTTGAACTGTTAAAGGTCGTATTGAATATAACTGTTCATAATAAAAAAAAAAATCATATATTTTTTGTTAACAAATTTTCCTTTTTTACACACTGTTGGTGTGCCTTTCCTTTAATTAATTTTAAACAATTTTTCTTGTTGTGTTTTGTACTATTTCATAATTATTAGCCTTCAAACAACATTACGCCGTCATTTTGTCTCTACCACTCATTACTTTTTTTTTATAAACTTGTTTTCTTCATTTATTCTAGTTTTTGACTTCTTCAATTTCTTGCTTAAATTTTTTTTTTTGTTTTAAATATTTGTGTATATGATTTGCGTTGTGTTGTGGTATTTGCTGTCAGCAAAGCTTTAAACTTGCAAAACTCTGCACATTCCGCAAGTTTTCATAGCCAGCGACAGCAACTTCGGTTGTGCAGTGTATGAGGTGTATTGTATTTTGTACCATTGTTATGTGTGTTACTGAGAGATTTATATGGAAGTATAAGATGATTGTATTACATTTGTTTCTATGTGTTCCAAAACTATTGAAAAATAACTGTACACAATCTAAAAAAATTACTTTTACTTCGCTTGAAGCCTCAAACACAAGTTATGCGCGTCTTAAAATATATGGTGGTCTTATTAACCAAATTCCGCGAAGACGCTAAGCGCAAATACATTTGTACCATATGTAAAATATTACTAAAAATGTAGCGTTATGAATGTCATTTTTCTAAAATAAGCGTCAAAAACCAAAATTTGCACGAACAAATATGTAATAAATGAAACAAAACTGACGAAAATTAACTTTTTTTTGAAATATTTGCATTTAAAACTATAAAATAGTAGTAATTGAATATACTATCCTTTATCAAAAATGGGTATGTGTTAGATGTCCATTTATGTATAGAAACTTTTAAAAATATATTAAATTTTTAACATTAGTTTGCTTATCATTGTCGTTGATGAAAGTGTTTATCTCGTGTTACTTTTGCTATGTATGACTGCTGTTTTCGTATTTTCTAAAAAAATTGTGTGCGTTTTAAGACTTTGTAATCTTAACATTGCCTCCAAATTCATGAACTTTAAAATAACTGTCCAAAAGCTTTTTGTGCTTTCATAGCAATTCTTTTTTCTTCACACTTCATTTCACTTTTTAGTTACTTTCTATTGTGCGCTTTAACATTTTTCTTTTGCGGAAATATGAAAGCTTGCTGAAAGCTTTCACATACATACGAAATCTCATTTCCATGCCAATCTATGCCAATGAAAATCACTAACAATTATAATGTTGTGTGTTCTCAATTGACATAGTGGTACTGGTAAGTATTAGATCTTTAGTGATTCTAACAAATTGTGCTTTAAAAAGTGACATTTTTTATTTTTGCGTTATAATATTTCAAATATTTTTTTGTAATATTTTAAATTGCATTTCTATGCAACAAGTTTGCTCTAAGCTCTTGTTTGCTTTTGTGCATTTTTTATATTTCATATTAGTTTTTTTTCATTGTGCTTTTTTCAATAATAAAAGCTTGTGCTTCAATGCTTTTTAAGCACTTCAAAATAACGAATTTGCAAAATTCTACAATTTTTAGCTGCCCTCGTAGAAAAGTTAAGTAAAATTGTATTATATAGAAATTTTGCAAATAATGAAATTTTGAAGGGTGTTTGTGTGTGCAACGTAGCTTCCGAAAATGGTGGTTCTTGATTTTTCATTAAAGAGTTCGTGATTTGACGTGTTATGCCAGTATGTGCACCTATTCCATGTATATGTGTAAAGTATATTTATATATTATATTATATATGGAAACACAGAAATCATTTACACATAAGTGGTTAAGCTTTTAAGCACGACGCAGGTGTACATAATAAATCAACATTCATACTATAAATATTTAAAAGTTTTAAGTTGTTTTTTTCTTTTAACAAATGAAAGCACATTATGGGTGGCGAACGCTCTATTTAATGCGTGAAAGCTCAACATGTTTTCCTTGAAGCTTTAAAAATGTTAGTGAAAGCTCCAATATGCGTGTAAAAGCTTTTATTGTTTAAGTGAAAGCTTCAACTTGCGTGTGAAAGCTCTAACTTGCATGCGATAGCTGCAGATTAATGTAAAACTTTGCGTGCGAAAGTTCTAATTTACGTGCGAAGGCTTCAATATTGAGTGCGCATGCTACAATTTGCGTGTGAAAGCTCCAAGTTGTTAGTGAAAGCTTAATTTTTTTGCACGTAAACTTTTTTTGGTGTGCTAACAGTGCAAACTTACTTTTTTCTGTGAAAGCATGATGCTTCCAGTGAAAGCTCGCAAAATATATGTGAAAGCTAACACAGTTTTTGCTAAAATTCACAAAATCAAGTGCTCACATTTACTTATCAAGTTACATATAAAGCTAGTGCTTGTAACGTTAAACTTGTTAAATTTTTTTCTTGTAATAAATTTTTGATAAAAGCTTTCACTTGTTGGCTTGTAAAATTGTATGTGTTTTTCTTTATTATAAGCTCTTGTGCTAATTTGTGATTTTACAGTTAGCTATGATTTTGCTTTTGTGCTTGAAAGCTTCCATTACATCAAAAGTATTTTAAGTTAGTTATATATTTAGTTAAAATATGTACATATATGTATATACACATAAATAATTAAAGTAAAAATATATTTCACATAACAACTTTAGCTCGGAATGCATCTGATGTGGTATTTTCAATTATACATACATAATATTGGAGTGTTTTGTAAATATATATTTATATGCATATATAAGATTTCTTTAAGTATATGTAAATATGCGTTTAAAGTTAATACATTGTAAATATTTGTTTTTGCACATAAATATTTGAATAGTTTTGATATTTGTTTTTGTATGTAGTAAGGTACACATTACACTGATATATGTATGACATTTGTTATATGTATTAATGTATTTATCGTATTGAGAAGACATTGAAACATATATATATTTGTAGTAAATACCTTTTAGGTGCATGTGTATAGTTTTTCAAATATTTTGCACATCACAAAAAAAATGTTTTTTTTTGTTAGAAATTTACAAATAACACGTAGACATGTATGTTGTTATTGTAGTTAGAGTTAACATTTAAAAGAATTTTTGTGTATAAATACTCATTAAAATTATTTGCTTACGGAAATGAATTGAAGTTTGCAGTGGTGTTGTTGATACAAGGGATGTAGGGTGCAAAAAACTGTTTTTGTAGTTGTTAGTGCATTTGTTGTACATATATATGCGGTTATTTCAAATAGTTGATCATGCACATCAATAATACAGTTATTTTTTGCTCAATAGCATATACTCAGATATATATATATAATTAATTATTCATTTTGAGTTTGTTTTTTTTTTTCTTCCATTTCGCAAATAAACATTTATAATTTTTTGTAATTGTATGATAATTTTACATATGTTTAACAATATTTGTATTTGCTTAATATTTAATAAATAATTGTTTATGGTTGGTTGTTTGCGGTCTAAATCTAAACGCATTTTATTATGTCTTTAATTAAGCTTGTATATATATTTAAGTGAGTTTATGTGTGTGTATTGTTCAGTGTGGCTGCCACGCATGCGCCATTTACTTGCATAAGACGTACCGCTTCAATGGGCTGGATTGTAATGATTTGTTGAAGCGGCGACGCATTAATCGGAAAGCAAAATAAAGCGTCTGCGCGACATGCTGAACTCAAGTGTTGCGTGTGTATACTTTTATTATTAATTAAATTTAATTTAATTGGCAAATAACTTGTTTTGCGCACAATTTACGGAAACAATTTAACAATATAATTGTATTTTATGTAGAATTAAAAAAAAAAAACAATCGATAGCTTTAAAGATGTATCAAAAGAAAAAAAAAAGCTCGCTTCTAGCCAACCAAATTTAGCCCGTTTCGAACACGCCAGCATACTACGCACCAGTAAATTAACTGTACTAACGAAAAGTATAATACTAACTTTTAGTATACATATAAACCATAACATTATAATCGCTGCCTTCAAAGTAATTAACACACTTCTCAGTGTCAAAACAAAATTAGCATAAATAAACAACCACTCCGCCGCGCTTGCAATATGCGCGCGGTCCTCAACACACACAACCGCCGCCGTTTAGCGCGTTTACTTTTTCTTTACCGCTGCTGTTGTTGTTGCCGTTTTTGCTGGCGTTGCTGGTGCTGCCTTTGACTCCTTAAGCTCTGCTTTGCCGCCCTTTTCGCGATCTTTTTCACCACTGCCATTCTTTTGCTGCTGTTGTTCGCCCTTCTCTTTTGCGCCAGCTGTTGGTGCTGTTGCTGCCGCTGTTGTTGGCTTGACAGCGCTCTCTTTCGTCGCTTTGGATGTTGTTGCCACAATCTCTTCACTGCCCGTTTCCTCCTCCATCAGTGTGCCTGTTGTCGGTTCTTTGGCCTCCAATTCACGTTTCTCATTCGATTGATTTGCCGGTAGCGCTTTCAGAATTGCATGCACCTCTTCGGCTACTGCCATTAACACGAACTCGAATTGTTGCCGTGTGGCAACGAGGCCAGCACGTTGATCGCGCAAGTGTTCCAATGTGGCGGCGATATCGATTTCACGTGCTCCCTTATTCATGCGTCCCAACACGAGATCGAGCAGTATGTAGGCGCCAGTGCGACCGGCGCCGGCGCTGCCATGCACCACAATGGGACAGGAGCGGCCGCGATAGGACTTGTTCACTTTTCTGTAAGAAATTTTTTTATAGAAATGAAATTTAGTTGTTAAAATCTTATTTTTCCATTTATTCGCCATAATTTATCCCGCTACTTCTGATTTTTCTTCATTGTCCGTCTCTATATCTACTTTTCTTCATCTCCATCTCCATTTCTATCTCTATCTCTATCTTTATCTCTATCTCTATCATGATCCTTGTCTCTATCTTTAACTTCACATTTAAATCTACTTCTTCTTATTTCTAAGTAAATCTCTTACCTTCGGAAGTCCAATAAGGCCTTAGCTTGCGCCGGTACCCCACCTTGTGGCCAAGAGAGGAAATGGAATTGTGTCACTGTTCGTGTTTCGCTGGTCCGCAAATTTTTCAAGTAGAAAGAGCGTACTAAGTAATCATCACACCAAATGTGCTCGCTGACCAAGTGAACCTGAAAGAATATTTTGAACTTATAATTAAGCTCTTAACATACTAATTTCGCACTCACCTCGTAGATGTGATAAACCTCGGCACCCTCTTCCGGCCAATAGCGTGCACAAGCAATTTCACCATTCTCTTGTAAGCGACACAGCGAAACAATAACAACAGCACCTTGTTCCCAAATCATTTGCCAGAAATGTGCCAGGGTCGTTGGTAATGGTCCTTGAGCGGCGACATAGGCCGGTGCGCGTGGATCGTGATCGGTCTGAAAGGATTTAGAGAAGATCAAATACATGTAGATCTGGTAGACAGTTTAAATATTCTGCTCCCGGTGATTTTGGGTATTTATTTAGTGGAGTGAGGTTAGGAAAAGAAAAATTATTTCTCGCAACTGATACTCACAATGGTCGAAGCATTGATGTAATCTAAACCTTCAGCGTTGGCCAAGTGATTGAGTACCACACGCGAGTGATCATAGGGTAATGGAGCACTTGGTCTGTTCAAATTAGCGCACTGCGGTTGTTGTGCGGCATCGCGTGCACTCGGCTCAGCTTCATAACGGCACAAAGCCTCCCATTCCCGTTGAAGGCGGCCCTTATTACGCAAATGATCCTCCATGTAAGACTAAGTCGTTAAAATATAGAGTAAATATTGTATAAAAACAGACATAGTGTTCGCATCAACTCACCAAAACCATATGCCCAGTAGAGATATCCATATTCGTTAGTGCCGGTTCCTCACTCCACGATGAAGTGCTGGAGCGGGACGATGGCGGTCGATCGTTTTCTTTGCTTAGTGATGTTATGCGACCACTTGCCACCGGTTCGGGAGCACTTCCTTTGCCAGCCATACGTGCACGGCACAGATCCTGATAGTCTTTGCTGCAACTCTCTGCGCCGCCGACGCCCGATTGCAAACCACCCAACTTGTCGCGTTTCTTGTCATGTCGCTTTATCAATATGAGTGTTATGAAAATCACAATCACAGCAGCAGCGCCGGCACCGGCGAACATATATGCCATTATATGCGTTACATCGGGTCCTTGTTCGGCGAGCTCAATGCGCGATGACGAAACGCCATCTGTATCGTCTTTGATCTTATCGCCAACACCCGCGTGTAGTACGGTGAAGCCCAGGCGTCGTAGTATGTTATTTTTTACGCCGCGATTGTCGTTGATGGCGCGCGCTATGTCAGCGGCGGTTTTGTGCTCCGGGTTGTTTGAGTCCACCCGGAAAGAGACTTCGTGCGGTTGAACGCTGTAAGAGGGGTTGCATGCATATAATTTTACTGTATATCTGTTGAGGTGTGATAGTGCTTACGTTAAATAGGTAAAGTATCCTTGCATATGTAGTATATTGGCCAATTCGTTCATGATCCGCACACCGTCACTCCAGCTATCGATACTGTACGGTAAATAGAGAATTATATGGGGCTGTAAAGTTAAGCTTTGAGTTATCTACTTACGGGTTCTTGACGAACACATGCGCATATTCGGTGTCGACTGTGTGCGGAGCATGATCTTCATCGGAGTGATCCTTCAGTACTTTCTTCTTCTTACTGCCCTCTTTACTGCCTTTAATATGTGCCGGCAGCACTTCCTTATTGCCAGCGTTAACAGCTTCGGTTTTATTTTGCGTATCCTTTGATTCCACAGCATTTGGCGGAGGTCCGATTAATGGACCCGGTTTCTTCACATCCAAACGTTCGTGTCGTGTGAATCCAAACATGCTTTCAAGTAATTCACGTGCTTTGGCTTTGCGTACCTCCTCCTCATCCTCGGACACATAGACGAGTCCACCCTCCGTAAAGACTGGTCGCGGTTTTTGTGCATTACGCGCATAAGTATTCGAGGAAAGCATCGCTTCCTCTTCGAACGGTGTCAAAGAGTTGCGAATGAGACTTTCCTCGAAAGCCAATTGCTTGCGTTCGGACTCGTTGGCGAAATCATTAGCAGTTGTTCGTTTGTAGGTTGGCAACAACATTTGGTCTGTTTCATCGATCGCATTTGCATTGAAATCATTATTCAATAACGGTTCCTGTGGCGAACCTTGCTCTGCGGCCAATTCACGAAAGAATGAACGTTGCACCGGCTTAGCTTTAGCCTTGACCGTCGCTTTGCTTGAAACACGTTTGAAAGAGCTGAAACGTTTAGGAAAATACAATTCGTTGGAATCATTCGACAACTCATCCGGTACAATAACTGGCTGATGTTGTGTAGACGGTGGTATACGCGCCGCTGCCTCACGTTCGCGCTCCACAACTTGTTCTAGTTTTTCAATTGCGCTACTCGGTTTACGTTGATACGGCTGCGGATCCGGTTCTGAGGCTGCCAACATCTGATAGAGTTCTAAACGATTACGCATTGCATTTTCCTGTGCCGCCTCCAACTCTGCTGCTTGCTCCAGTTGTTCGCGTTGTATTCGTGCACGTTCGTTCTCCAAATAGGTCTCCATTATATTTGGTGTGAGTTGTGATGGCTCTTGTGCATCCGATTTTTCGAAATATGCCAGTTCTAGCGGATCGTGTCGCAATTGGCGTTGGTCCTGCAGCTGCAACTCATGCAAAATGGTATTGATGCTATTGCCATCTTCAAGCCGTTGTTGCGGTCTCTGTTGCTTTTTCAGTGGCGGATAGAAATATCCTGCATCCACATATTCCTGTTCGGGTGGTGTGAAGCGTACGAAAGCCATAGCGCCGGCAGGGTCGATATCGGTAGGTGTGGGTGCCAAGTTTGCGCAAAGATTCGGTGGTAGTTGGGTCTGTTTCTGCAGTGAGTAGAGTGTTCCTTGTATGCGACATTGTACGTATGGGTGATCCCATCCGAGTCCGGCACCCTGCAACTCCTCCAACATTGTGGCGAGTGTACGAGATTGCTCCTCAGTGAGGGGTGTCCTGTGGAGTGGATAGTGATGGTTTTTGTGTTTTAATTTGGTTTGTGTTATAATAATTATGAAAACTTACTTTTCAATGTCCTCCACATCTACGCCAGTTGTCGGTATGCATTTTCCAAAGATGTTATCTGTGTGACATTGGAAAAAATTATGGTTTGGCATTTAATATGATTTTTAATATGATTACACTTAAGGGTTGTTATAAATGATTATTGTGTAGATTACTTCGCCCCTGAGCAAAGAATTCGTGTTGTTTTAGATGACTACGTTAATAAGCTTAAAAAGTGCAGAGTTGCTTCCATTAGCAGAGCTTTTGATAGTAAATTTTCCCTGTTTTATGTATACACCCGGAGGTTTAACCGTTTCAAGCCTATGTAGATTAAGACAAAATATTTAGAGCTATGTGGATGTTTTTCGCCAATAGAAAGTTTAAGTTTCTCTAAAAGTCTCTGTTTCTCTAAACTCTCAGGATGCTCCACTGGCTTTTAAAAAGTTGTATACTCTCATATTCGATTATTTATTTAGTCTATAGAGAAATTTCGATGCCAAAGTCTCAACTTTACTATTTCTCAATAATTTTTCTAATGTCTTTAGCAGACGTCAGAAGTACAGCTCTTTGTCAAACGGTTTTGTACCGAACTAAAAAAAAAAATTACTGGAACAACCCTCGGGAGTGACAGTTCTGGCAGAATCAACATATATGGTATATATGAGCCCTTTATGTTTCTGTTTCTCAATGATAATATTGCTGGAATAATAACTGGTACTCTGCTGTTAGCGTTGCTGCTTAAACTAAAGTAATTAAAGTTAGTGGTTCGCCGCCAAGTTAGTTGGTTCGATTCCGATAGAATATCTTGCCCCTTTACTTTTATTAATTATACTTTGAAATATCGAATTGACGGTTAGATCTTGGAGTTTCGATAAACGATAATACCAATCTGAACATTCTCCCGAATTTTTTTCTTTATGCATAAATCTGCGCTTTGTATTACTCGAGATAGTTTAGTCGTGAAAGTAGCCACTGTTTGGTAATTCAGTTCAGAGAGAGAGAGAGAGAGAGCTCTATTTTTATTTAAACAAACAATATTTATTTTAATGGGCTCATAATAGCTCGTTTGTTTCTACTTAATACTTAGCTATTTTAATAATGACCATAAGAAACTACTCACCATCAAAACAGACCTCGCTACCCTGAAGGCAAAGTGTTCGCACAAATTGGCAACCTGCAATGTTATAAGAAAGAAAATAAATGAGATTTATATTTTATATTCATAAATATATATATATATATATTTATATGTATATACCATACATATATAGTGAATGGTTTCAGTCAATAAGAAACTGTTTAGTCATTAGTTATAATAGCGCAATTGTCCGAGTGAGTGTTGTAGTGGATTGTATACAAATATTATGAGTAGCAAATAGCCAATGCTTTTGTTGAAATTACTCATATATTTTATTATTCTTCTGGGAGAAATCCAGCTGTTACTATATACTTATTTCACTGAATTTTAACGCTCTGTTTGCTGTCAAAGGATAGAGGATTAGAATATTGTTGGCAATTTTCTTGTACAGCTTTGAGTTACTTAAGATATATTTTCAGTTTTATGCAGAAGAGGCGAAAGAATGACGACAATGCTAATAATATTTTAGTTAAAGTCTTAATTTTAATCTTAAAATTTGCTGATACTTTCTTTTATTGTTGGGTTTTTCAGATCTTTGTATATGGGGAAATATCAGTTAATATTTTGTCAGTTTTAGTGAGAGATTAGTTAGATTTCATAACAATATCCTTAAAAGCAACTTATAAAGATTATTATATTTCCATTCTCCCTTCGTAAAATCCATTTTGAAAATACCTCTTTATTTCTTGCAAAATTTTTGCTGTGGCTTGTTGAGTTGGTTGCAGTTCATGCAAAAAAAAAAAAATATTGCCATCTAGTACTCTTGACGTTAATTAAGTACAGATAATTATCGATTGTGGTCATCTCGAGTTGACTCTTGTTATTTATCAACGATACTCTGTCAAACGCAAAAAAAAAAAATTGAGAATAACTTCAGTATTTCTGAGTCTAGGCAAGACTCGGTTTCTGTAATTCAAAGTAATGAGCAATGATCTTTAGGCAAAATTGGTGAAGATTATGTTCCTTTAGAAGGCTTGTCTTTTTATGTTGGTTTCTCTCGCTCTAATCTCTGAAGTAAGAACTTTGCAACCTTGCAACATTCTTTCTTAAATCTATATATAAAGTTATTCAATGTTTTTCAAGTGAACCACAGGTTAGTGCAAAATTGCAGAAATGGCAAACTTCGAAAAATGTACAAGTATTTAAAGGTAGACCCAGAAGTTTTAAGTCACCTACATATGAATGATTGCTGCGTTTTGGTTCGGCTTGTCATTCCTGCTTCGCACATATCCCTTTCCTCAATAATTTTTTTGTCTTTTTGTAATATTGTCTGGTATGAATTAATAAAATATATTGAATATTTCTGTTAAGAAGACTACTCGGGGCGAGCAGAGTATTCGGTGTCACATTTTTATGCTGAAATAAATAGAATATAGTCCCAGCGCTGTTTACCAGGTTTTCCTCTATCTAGCGGCTTATATATAACATATTGTGCTTTTTGACTTAATATTTATTATTAAAAAATTTGTTTCGCTTTTAGTAGGATTGTACTTAAAGACACTGTCTTATCAAAGGCCCCTTATACTATGTACACATAAATCTGTAATACTCAATACTATTGTTTATCTTACAATTACAGTTGGTAAAAAAGCTTGGGCTCTAATTTTCTTTTGATTATACAACACTTGGCATCCAAACAAAAAATACAAAAACAACTACAGACACGATCACCGAATATAGTCCCACATCAATTTGACTTGAATAAAGGCATACAACTGCTGTCTAAGGGTTCTTTGAAATATTGCACAGCACTCTATGCTATTAAAAGTATAGACGTGAGTGAAAACCGAAAAGCAATATACGAGTACATACATACAATAGATGACGCGCCGCTTAATCTCACGCGTGGCGAAAACATATCAAAGGCGCCCTGTCAAAGCGAAAAAGCTGCGACGCAACCGGTGACTTATATTCGGCGAGTTAACCGAGCTTACGCGTTTCATCACTCAGTGCGCCCCTCCAAGGCAAATATATGTTTACAAAGCGGAAAGCCTACACTCAACACCTTCACACACACACACATAGGCTCTTCGTGTTACTATTGCACATTGTTGTTGTATGTATGTTTGTATGCCTGTGTGTGGGTGTTTGTTGCTAGAAGCATTTTCGGAAGTCCTTCAAATTTAAAGGCAGGCATCAGCACCACAAAAGCAACAATAAACACCAAACATCGTGACAATGTTACAACTGAGTTATTCTTGCGGTTTCATTGCTTCGCCGAGTGTTCACCACAGATAAAGTAAATCTATGGGTTGGCAGAGAGTGAGTTTGAGTGTGTATGTGTGCGCTCAAAGGCATATAATTGCACACTCATGGCTACGCATTGTTAATCCTGTCAACCTTAGCTGCGTTGCGGCGTCAGAAAGCATACTTTGAAGCCACCGAAAAGCGTATATCTTCCTTGCAGGCAGTTTGACAGCGACGCCAATTCATTTGTATAGTGCGTGAACGTGGTGACTGGCATTTATTTTGAGTATTGTACAGCTCAACAAATTTCTGAGTGCGGGAGTTGGCGAAAATAAATTCCGACATTTTCATATTATAACTTTATATTATATTATTAGCAAATGGCTTAAATATTAGTACGGATCATTTATTTAGAGAGACGTGATTACGCCTCGAAAGTAGGAAGAGAAAGGATTCTTTAGGAGTTGGTAATTTAATTTGTTAACTATTAGAAAGATAATATTAAAGAATATTAAATAACGGTTTGTTACTGTTAGTTTTTAATCATTAATATTTACTAAAATATTGATTTTAGAGTTCTACTATAATAAATAACAAAAAAAAAGCATAAACTTCGATTGCACCGAAGCTATACCATCACAAGGTTCCTTACAAAAACTTGATTCCGATCGCTCAGTTTGCAACCATATACTTGTATGCTATAGTAATCCGATCGGACCAATTTCTCCGGAAGTGGCATTATTGCCTTAGATAATAATGCTTTCACTTTGTTTGCCAACTATATGCTATTGTGGATCCCATCCGAAAAAAGCTATAGTTGACAAGTGACAACACGACAAAGTTGACGGCTAATGGCTGACCAGTAACAGGTGAAGACCAGTTAAAAAAAACAGCTGTCGAACTAGTGTCATAAATGATGGTTGATTAGACTATTGACTATTAACATATGACAGGTGACAGACCATTAAATTAAGTGAACCAAAAAAATAATGAAATTAACAAAGTGAAAAAAGCAGTCACCAGTGACAAGTCACAACTACTGAGCAGTGATCAGTAACAAGTAATAACTGATCTGTGATGACTATTAAGTGACTTATGGGTAAAATATATTAAGTGACTTAGGTAAAAGTGGTAATGTATATTTAGTAAAAGAAGATAAGTATTCTGTGACAAGTGTCATGTGTATGACAGGTGATATATTGACCAGTTAAGCTAACCAATTAAAATTGTAAGAGCTGATAGTTGAACTAAAAGTTGAATGTAGAAATAGTCAAATGAAATAGAAAATACCGTTATATACTTTCAAAACACTTATTATACCCTGAACAGGCGTGATGAGATAAGTCGATTTAGCCATGTGTTTCTGTCGGTATACATGTGCACCAATCCATCAGTTTTTCAGCTATCGATCTGAAGTTTTGCACAAGTTATACTCCTCTTAAGCAGCTGCTAGTTTGTTGGATTCGCCGAGATCGGTGCAGTATAGCTATAGCTCCCTTATAAACTGGCCGATCAAAATCAAGTCCGTCTATGGAAAACTTTTTTATTTGACAAGATATCTTCACGAAATTAGGCTTGGATTATTACCCAAGACAGCGAAACAATCTCCGAATATATTGTTCAGATCGGACTACTATAGCATATAGATGCCATACAAACTGACCAATCAAAGTCATTATAAAGATCTTCAAAAGAGATATCTTTAGGGGGTAGTTTAGTTTCGGTGCTGCTGAGGATAACGTTTTTTCTTGCTTTCCTTTCTATATAAATCGAAATCAATGAGAGAACTATAAAGAGCCCAACTAAATTCTACAGCACTTCAAATATTACTATATTTTTGATTGCTCTCAGAGCCTAAATTCTTCAAATAATTCAATCAAAGTGAATTAAAAAAATTACAAAAAAATCCACAATTGTAACTCGGGCCAGCAGCCTCTCTAGCTGGCATTTCTCATACCCAACAACTATCACATCACATGCCTCCATTCGTATGCGTTCGTGCTTACATTTCATTTGCGCTACGATTTTAATTACCCAGCTGTCCATTTATCTGTTGCGCTTTCGTTGTTGTTTTTGTTGTTGTGTCCGCCCATTGAATATTTGCTGCTAAAAAAATTGAAACAAAAGACGAATAAAGAAAATGCCAACGTCACTCATACGCCATGTCGTCCCTTATGGCACTAACAACCATTGACGTCAGTTCGGTGCGTCGGTCCTTTTGCCTACGCAAAGCTGTCATTTCAGCTGCGCCTAAAAGTTTGCTTTTCCCCGTTTACATTTTTTCGGTTTTTCACATGTCTGTTCGTGTGTGTGCTGGTTTGATGTGCTTTTCAGCTGTTATTTCCTTCCTTTTTATGCTTTCATCACTCAGCAGGCACTCAGCAGCACACATATTACCGTGCCATGGTTGTCATTAACAAACATCTGTGTTGTTGTTGTTTTACTTGGTTTTTGTTTTTTGCTTTTGTAATAGAAATACGTGTGTGTACTACGTATGTGTTTATGTGTGTAACATCCGCTTTGTGGTTTTGCGGAAAATCACTTGTGTCTAATTTATAAGCACAAATTTGTATATTTACTTGTTTATTTGTATAAACATGTTTGCATATTAATTAACACTCTGCGCTCATATGATGCTTTGTCAACTTGGCTATGCTTATATGGTATATAATTTTAGTCAAATAAAGTACTTACCACCTAATTAATTGTGACAACATTGCTTTGTGGGTGAGAAGTCGCTGGGCTATCGTGTGTATTACTGTGATGTGCTTATTTGTTGTTGTTGTTTTTTTGAAACGTGATACTTTAAGTGCTTTACACCTCAAAGTAGCATTTAGTGCTTGGGGAATACAATATTCCTATTCCATTTTTTCGAGATTTGCACCACTTTGAAGCACTACTGTGAAATAGTTCGGCAGAAAATTGCAATTCGAACTCGAGTAAAAATTGTTTACTCATATTAAAAGCTTATGGAAATATATTTTCTATTTTTACGACAACAAGAAGTTAGGCAGTCTTAATCAAGCAAGGTGCCAAACTACTTTAGATATTCAGAAAATGAAAGAAAAAGAATGTATGTTATAAAGATATAAAGAATAAACCGAAAAAGGATTAATCGGTGAGAAAAAAAACCTTTGTTAAAAATACTTTAGAATAATTCACAAAAAATTAAGCATTTTCTATGAAAAACAAAATATTGAAACCTCTCAAGGTTTTCTCTTTTCAACAGTTCAATAAGTCGTGGAGATTAGAAATAGATAGTTAGAGATTACTTCAAAATTTTTTCTAAATTCCTTAGGCTCTCTGCCATTTCCAATTTTCTTAAGATAAAGGTATTTGCTCTTAGGTCGAACTTACTTCTAATATTGGGTTGTTAACTAAGTAATTTCGTTGTTTTTAGTGCAATTTAAACATTATCATCAAATTTAATCTTTCAATAATCTCACGAGTTTTTATTTGACGATTTGCCTTGACCAACGACTTTATATTATCCACATCGGCTTCAAGACGCCTTCCAGAACGTGGTGCATTCTCAAGATCGAAATTGCCAGAACGAAATTTTGCAAAACAATTTTGTCATTGATTTTCGGTTAATACATCTTTTCCGTACATATTACAATATTTTTGCCTTACAATAAGTTTAGCTGCTGTCATCCAACGAAATTACTTAATGAACGACCTAATAGTTTGAATATTTTCAACGAATGAAGGTTGTGGCCACTGTTATTATGATTAAGTGACCTTAGCACTCAGATATTCTACGCTGGCGGCAAAAGTTGGAGGAATTTCCTGAAAGTAAATTTTTTGTAATCGATTCAGCATTTAGTGCTTAGATTTTTCCCTGTTTTCGTTTCGGTCATTGGACCGATTTTCATCGTTAAACTACAATACATTTGGGGTCCTAAAAATAGTAATAATTTGATAGAAAGTTAAAAAAAGAAAGTTGAGACCCACTTCACAAAGGTGAGTCCGAAAATTAATCCAGCAGCTGTCATCAAAATTTCATTGTACACATTTTTTCATACACTAAAATATATGACTAATTAAGTTGTAAAGAAAGAAGTTCGGCATCTTTGTCTTTACCTTTAGAATAAATTACTAAATTTGGGCCATTTTAATGACTAAAGGAGTAAATATTTAGCAACAGGAGATGTGCTGAGTCTATAATATATTCGCGCAGTTTGCTAAGGGATGGATGTAACTTGATTAGTATTCCATTGTTCCAATAGAAGACGAAGAACGTCCTGGGCGTCCAAAAAAGTTAGAAGATTGAGAACTGAAAGTATCACTCGATAAAGGCTGTTATCAAACACAAGTAGAGCTCGCACAATCTTTGGAAGTCACTCAAGCAGCCGATTCAAAATGTTTTAAAGCAGCCGGATATATTCAAGAGCAAAAAAATGGGGTGTCATATGAATTGAAGCCAAGAGACTTTAAAAGACGATTTTGACCCGTCAGAAATACGACAACATAAGCGCAAAAAATTATTATATAAGAGCTGGCCAACTAGCCAGTCCACCGCAAAGCCGAATTTCCATGACGCCAAGGTAATCCTCTGTATTCGGTCTCACTGATCAAATTGAAACGAGTTATTGCTACTAAACGACCGGAATTCGCGCTTAAACATTAGGCAATCATTTTCCTTATTCTGTTAGCAAGATTGATTGAAAACTATTTGGCCATATAGCCCAGATCTTGCCTCATCTGACTAGCCCTTGTTCCAACCGATGCAAAACGTCCGCACAGGAATACGGTTCACATCAGCACAGTCTATAAAAAATCGTGCTGATTAATTTTTGGACACTCAGCTGGCGCAGTTATTTTGCTATATAAATGATCAGCATGACGAGCTGAGTCGATTTAGTCATTCCCGTCTGTCCGTCCGTCCGACTGTCCGTTTGTCTGTATAAACGCGAACTAGTCCTTCAGTTCTTGAGATATCGATCTGAAATTTCGCACACGTCCTTGTTTTTCCAAGATGTTGCTCATTTATCGGAACCATCGATATCAGACCACTATAGCATATAGCTGCCATACAAACTGTACAATCAGAATTAAGTGCTTGTATAGAAAGCTTTTTCATTTGATGAGATATCTTCACGAAATTTGGCATGGGTTATTTTCTAAGATAATTAAGTCATTTTCGAAGAAATTGTTTGGATAGGATCACTATAGCATATAGCTGTCTTACAGACTGAACGATCGAAATCAGGTTTTTGTAAGGAATCTTTTGTATATCTGAAGGGTATAACGGTTTTTCTTGTTTTTTGTACGGATTCATGGATTTATGTTGTCCTATGATACTTGAGCAAAAAACCCCTTTAAATACTTTTCATTAAGTACTTTTCATGCACTTTATTGCTCTTTCATTACCGAATCTTTGAATATTATTGCGTAGCTTGCATTTTATTGCCCTTTCGTCACCTCCTTTAATACGCAATGTTTTGCCTTCTTAACAAAGCAATATTTGCCGCCGCTAACGCTTTGTAGCACAACACGCCCGCTGCGTACGTAACCATGCCAGTTATGCAACCTTGACAACCAGACTAATTGCTATACGCATACATAAACACCTACAATTTCACAGTACACAAAATAGCACACACACAACTAGAAACATATTTGCGCCTAAATGTATACTTATGTATACATACTAACTAGGAACTGTTGGAAACAAAGCAAGCGCTAACGTACAAACGAACATACAACGACTAATTATTGTGTTTCTGCTCCAGATACGAGTACATGGCACGCAGTTAGTTGCATGGCGTCCCAGGATGCCTCCAAAGCGCTTGTTAAACAGCGCTCATTTAGTATAGAATATGACTAAAATACTATGTGGAATACAAGTTGGCTGTATTGCATGTATTGCATGTGTATTACTGGCACAACACTCGCACATTTTTCGCAATGAAAAGTTGGCACAACGACTCATTTAAGCCAGCGCGCACCGTTATGCGCTCAACTGCCTGTGTACTGTGTATGCGTTTGTATTTTTTATGCGGGCGTTTATCTGCATCTAATTGCTGTTATGTTGCCTTACATTTGCCACCTTGTTGTGCAGTGATGTTTTCACCAGCCATCACGCTGCTCGCCTTTGTGTCAACGCCACTCTACGCTGTCGCGCTCACTCTCACCCTCGCTCTTCACTGCTTTGCCATTATTACGCTTGACAGCGCTTTGATGTCAGCTTCATTTTGGCCTTTTGCTGCGGCAACCTCGGCGTAGCCTGTATTTCTGCGTATTGCTGCCACAGGTGGCTAATTACTATGGAAATATGTTGCTAGTAATTATGTATCCACATACATGCAAACATTTGTAATCAAATACCCAAATATGTGTGCGTATTGAATTACCAAGAAGCCACAAATTTGGCCTGTTGTTTGCTTTGATCAAAAGTCAAGATACATATGTCTTCAGAATGGTTTATAGCTGCTGTAATATGTATATAGAAAGTGTTTGTTATATTGTTATTCCTTTCATAATTGCCTTCTGCGATAAACACACGAGCAGTTAATTGAGCGTAATAATGAAGCTTTATGAAGCGTACGAGTGAATAGTGGGATATATACTACATCATTTCGCAATAATGACTCAAGTTTATGCCGTATACTCAGCTAATATAGTTGACTTTTTTGTGTTGCAAAGAGAAGCTTTTTTGGAGCTTTTAAACTTTCACCTCGTTGCTGGAAGTGAAAGTTTGGTATTTTATATTCTGACAAAATCTACGGGCATAACTATAAAAACAACTTTTATAGCTTGAAGAAGAGCTTTTGAGCTTTCACATCGTTGGCAATACTGGGAAGCTAAACAATAGTGAAAATCTTTAGTTTGTCATTTATAAATTTAAGAATTTTGTTTGATAGTAACCAAAAGCTTTTTTGGAGTTTTGAGCTTTGTGAGCTTTTTAAAGCTTTTGAATTTTCTAACCATTGCTGGGAGTGAAAATTTGCTATTGTAGATATATGTTATGTAGGAAAATATATTGTACATATGCACATGTGAATTATATATAGATAGATGAGTACATATAATTTTGAGTTACTGTTAAATTGTTGTCGTTCTGTTTAGAAGACCAAAAGACTTGATAGTTGATGATAACCCTTTTATTGGTGGCGTCTAGAACAAGAGGATCGTTAAAAACACAAACAAAGATAGGTTCTTTAGCAATCGCTTTTGAATGGCCCGACACGATATAGAGTAGAAAGAAAATGTCTGTGTACTTTTCAAACTGTACAGTATTAATAAAATGTCGGGTATCTGTACCATCACTATTACAACTAAGCTTTGCCCGATTAAAAAAAATATATCGACTTAATTACTAATTTTTTTTAATAAAGTTATACCTATACCATGAAATTCTCACAAAATTAATAATGGTATATTTCTATAAACGCAATTCTTTGTTTTAGTGATTTAAAATACTTTTTACACATTTTTTTAAATTTATTTTGAAAAAAAAATGACTCTTCTGCTTTGTTGATTTCACATCCACATGTCAGTTGCGCTTGAGCGACTATTGTGAAATTGATAAGCCACAATTGTTTGTTAAGTTTCCACAACAACAGCAAAAAAAAAAAGAAGCAAGCAAAAAAGCTTCAACTGCCTATTGCATCATTATTATTAATTTTTTAGTTTTGCTTTTCATCGAACAAAAGATAGCACGACAAGTGTCATTTGCTGTTTTTCAAATATATATATTTATTTGCAAAAAATAGTAGCGCAATGGCTTAAGAGTGTAGCTGAAGCAGGTGAGATTGCATTTTCCCCATATTTGCATATTCTTTTGATTTTGTTCTTGTGTTTTACGTCAAACTGACATCTCGACAATATTGAAATATGTCTATGGCTATGTCTGTCTGCCAACGATATGTTTTTATGAGGTCATCGATGTCAAGTTGAAACGATGAGTTGTGCTAAATCTAAATTGTTTTCAAAGCAGATCACCAGCGGGTGGATATAACATGACATATTTATTGGAAAAACAGTGGATAACTGTCTCGTTGGTTGAGTGAATAATGGATTTGTATTTTGTGGAATACTAGCGGACAGACGTTGTGCGGTAACATGGTTGAAGTGACAGTCAATCGTAAACTATGATGAAATAGGGTGAGATTAGACAAATATGAACGCAGCTGGTTGGGTTACGAAACGCAATTTGCAATTTGATTGATAAATGTAAAGGAAAACGAAGAAATTGGTCATAATTTAAAGATAGTAGAAGAATTTGGTGATATTGAATAGTAGAGTGGATGTTGGATATTGCATATTAGTTATTGTATAATAAACTTTGGACAATGGCTATTGGATATTGAAATTTGGATATGGGTATGGGATAGATATTAGTATTGACATTGATATTGATATTTATATTGTAATTGATATTGATATTGATATTGATATTGCTATTGATATTGATATTGATATTGATATTGATATTAATATTGATATTGATATTGATATTGATATTGATATTGATATTGAGATTGAGATTGAGATTGAGATTGAGATTGAGATTAATATTGATATTGTGATTGAAATTGATATTGACCTTGATATTGATATTGATATTGATATTGATATTGGTATTAATATTGATATTGATATTGAGATAAGTGTTAACTAAAACATATCTAAATTCAATAAAATCAATTATTCAGCATTTTATCAGATCTATTAATAATTTTCCTCGAAATCCTCAAACTAAATAAATAATTTGCGTTTATTGTATAATTTCATTTTCTCTATTTCATTTCAAGTGCTTTCTACATAAATTTACATAACAATTGTCAGCTCACAGAAAATTCACAGATTTAAAATTGAAATTCCAAGCATTGCTTGCTTTCTAAACAAACAGGCCAATTCATAGAGCGGAAGTTGGAAAATTTATTGCTTTGCACTCAAACACACACACATACAAAGATTTAGTATTTACTCACAATAAAAATAAAAAACCAAAACTAAAAATGGATAATTTCGTGTTTTCTGGCAGCTGCTGCATTATCCTCTGACATTTTAGCTATCTCCTAGTCAAAGTTATAATTTCCTTTCTCCATTTAAATAAACGGGATGGAGAAAACATAAAAATATATTTGTACAAATTTGTGCGCTTGTTTAGTTTCCATTTTCTACAACAAACAGCTCGAGAAGTGCAAGCAAAGGCTAGCGAAGCATTTGCCGTACTCTTAGCTTCGCCAACAGCTGCTCACACTCAAGACGGCATTACTAGTAAATGGGAACGTGACACAAATTAATTGCCTTGGTGTTTCATTTTTTCACTCATACACATTAGTACACATTCACACACATATAGGTATGTATAATAGATGTACAACAATGCACAGTTTCTATCTTCATTTTGATTTTCCGTATAAAAATGGACAATCAATGTAAGCGCGCCAGAGATATAAAACTAATTAAGAGCTACGCGAAAAGCAGAAAAGCAAAAAAAAGAGGGAATAAAAAAACCGGAGCCGGATGTAGTAAGCAGCGGGATCAAGTGACTGCTTGGAATGAAATGAAATGAACTGGGTGTACGCACGCGACAGCGAGGAAGAAGCAGATGTTGGCAGGTGGAGAACGAAGGACAACACTCTTGCAAGCTTCACGCTGTGATGCGTGGAATGCGACGCAGCGCTGCTTTTCCTTAACACAATAAGCGGAAATCGAAGTTCAGGTAACAGTTTTTGCAAATGTTGACGTTTCTTGGAAGAATATCTTCTTCCAACTCGATGTGATTGCTTTGGTCCATGTAATTCAGTCACTTTTTCAGGAATTTCGTAAATTTAATTTTTCTTGGCAAATATTCACTCTTTTCACTGAAGTAAATATTGATTCTTTGAAAAGTTGTTTCGTGAAAAATATAGGTGGGTGTGTGTCTGCTATAAATTAATTAATTTCAACGATTACGTTTGAGAATTTATTTGCATAACTTCCGTTTAAAAATTGCGCACAGCTTTCATGGATTTCATGCTGAGTAACTGAATTTAATTAAAGTTCTGTGTAAAAGTTTGTTGTTGTACTTTATATAATGAATTACTTCCCACTGTAGTTAATCTGAACTTTATGTGACGAGAGAAAAAGTATTTTTTAGAATAAACTAACGGGTGATCCCAGTAGAAGTACTTTTCCAATGGCCTCTTTTTGACAGATCACGCTTGAGTCGTGTCAAGCTGTCATGTTATTTTTGTTCAGTCTTGTTTAGTATTTCATCACGGAAAGACTTACGCCTGAACAACGTTTACACATAGTTCAACTTTATTACGGAAATTCACGTTCTATAAAGAATGTGTTCCGCGCGCTTCGCTAATGGTTAATATAATCGGTCTACTGAGCGTACCTAACGCAACACCATCACCAATCTTGAGACCCTGCATTTATTATTAAATAATGTTCGACCGAATAGACCACGTCTAGCACACAGTGAAGAAAATATAGCGATCGTAGCTGAGAGTGTACACGAAGTCCGTGGAGAGTCGATTCGGACTGACGTATGGAACGACTTGGCCCATTTTACATCGAGATTTTAAATTATAAGCGTACAAAGTACAGCTTGTGCAAGAACTGAAGCCACTCGACCTTTCCAAGCGACATCGATTCGCTCTATGGGCTCTTGAAAAGTTCCAAGAAGATCCGACGTTTTCGAGCCAAATTTTTTTTAGCGATGAGGCCCATTTTTGGCTCAATGGGTATGTGAACAAGCAAAATTACCACATTTGGGACGAAGAGCATGAAGGGCAACCAGAAGAGATTCAAGAGCTGCCATTTCATTCAGAAGAAAAGACGGGTTGGTGTGGTTTGTGGGCCAGTGGAATCATCGGTCTATATTTCTTCTAAAATAATGCCCGTAAGATCGTAACCGTCAATGGCAACCGTTATTGAGCAATGAAAACCGACTATATGATGCCTGAAATTGTAGTCCATGATCTCGGCGACATTTGGTTTCAACAAGACGGCGCCACTTCCCATTAGGCCGGTCGATTGGCCACCAAGATCTTATGGTACTACACCGTTAGACTTTTTACTGTGAGTCTATGCGGACAATCCCGCTTCGATTCAGACCTAGGAGTAAAACATCACGCTTGGCATTCGCCAGTCACCAATCGAAATACTCGAACGAGTTATCAAAATATGGACTCAACGGATGGACCAGTTGAGACGTAGCCGCGGCCAACATTTGGAAGAGATAAAAATTTGTTTTTTTTATTATATTTTGATCCATATGGTAAACCTACTAACAATGTGCGCCGAAATGACGGCTTTCTTAATAATACCCATATTTAAATAAAATGCGTTATCTGATTAATTTTGTGTAAATAAAAAAAAGTTGGTAACTCTGGCAATAATAATGCTGTAAGCGTTCTTAAAGCTATTACGTAATATGAATTTTTAAAACTTTATTAAATAAATTTTTTAATCAAATAGTAACCCTGTAACAATACGCGTCGAAGTACTTGTATAGGCAATATTTTGTCGAAAATATTTTTAATTACTTTAGTTTTTGCAAATTTGAGTTTTTTCTAGAAATCAATATTTTTATTTAAACTATATTTTGAAGAGTTTTGAATATTCTTACTTTAATTTTTGGTATGTGGTATATACAAGGATTAATGAATTTCATAACCTTTACAAACATTATCACAATTTTTCAACAATTTCTGAAACAAAAACAAAATAACTGATTAAAAAACGATGCACTAGTGAAAATTCGCGTAGGTTAAGAGAAAATCTGTGTACGAAATGTAACCACCTTGCTGACAACCCCACATAATATGTGGACCATTTCAAGCGATATGGAAAATTACCTCATAACTATGCAGCAGCACGAAGCTTTCAAGCAGAGAAGCAAACAAATTTGTAGCGAGGCGAGCAGCATGGCAGGACTGGGGAGGTCAACAATCACTTGCTAAAATGCTAATGGCATTTTCTGGTAACACCGGAATGCGCCTGGCACCTATACATCTCTATACATCATATACATATATGTGTGTGTTGCATAAAGTGCAAGCTTTGCGGAAAGGAGCCAAGTGAAATGGAGTGCATGCCGAAGCCTTGAAGCACTGCGAAAGCTGCAATGATTCAAAAGTTGTTGCTGATTTGAATGCACAGTGATGCATTTATGCTACGCCGCAGTGAGTCGTGGAAGTTTAATTCATCAATTGAGTACTGAGTGAGCGAAACGTGGCTGTTGCAGTGGCAGTGTTAATGGCCTTCCCGCTTTCTGTAGCAATTCAAAAGCGTGTGCCATTTTCTCTTACGTCACTTTAGAGCACAATTGAGTTGCTTGCTGTGGCATTTGTGTGTTGTGTGTGTGTTAACATTTGTGCTAATGCATAAATTTCGTGTATTAAACACAAGCATACAATCAGGCGCTTTGCTTGAATGCATCTGAAATGCATTTCCTGCCAAATTGCGGGTGTCCATATCCTGCAAAGCACAGCGCAAAACATTTTACAATTCAATTACCTCTCTATTTCCATTTACTATTGTATTTGGTGTCAAAATAAGGAAGCTTCATTGCTGCAGTTATTTTCTTTAAGTAGGTTTTGCTTGACAAGATTCTATTGGGTTGAGTATATATATTTTTTTTTTTTTTTTATACATATATAAGGTGATGTTATTTTATTGAGGATTAGTTATTGAATAATCAGCACACATTTTGTCTGCAATCAGTTTGGCATTTTGGGGGAAAAATCATGTGCTATATTTCAGATCGATATCTCCAAAACTGAGGGTCTAGTTGCCGTATGCATAGATAGACGAACAAGCGGACATGTCGAAATCGACACGCTGTTCATTATTATATATTATTTTGGGGTCTCCGACGTTTATTCTGGGTGTTAAAAATTTTGTGGAAAACTTAATATACGGTTCAGGGTGTAAAAATATGTCGATGGAGAAACTATCAAAAGTAGCGCCACCTATCGTGGAATAATTTCAGAACATTGAGTGAAATATATTAAATAATTTAAGTGGTTTTGGTGATTTGGTAACTAAGCTATCACGAATGGTTTGAGGAAGTCCTACCTATACGGACAACGTAGCTCTCGTGAACCGACAGAGTTAAGTGCCTGCAAGTAAGGACAGGAAGCTCTCGTGGAAACACACCATCGAGGCAAGGAAGACAGTGGTTGACCTGTATTGCTGCAGAGAAGCCATGTACCCTCACACACTTTAATTTCATTCGAAATTACTTGTATTACCTGGTCGCCGAGCACAGCACTGGCTGTCGTTTCTCTGCTTACATTTTTTCGAGGGAGGCATTGGAGGGAAGGACTCGCTGGAGGAGAGGAGCGGTGAGCGTTTTTACGGATGGAGCAAATCTTTCGGGGAGGGTTGGTGGAGTAGTACACTGTCGGGAACATTCCATCAACTCCAGTTTTAGGCTTTCTGACCACTGCAGCGTCTTCCAAGTAGAGGTGGCTGCCATAAAAGAACCAATAGATTTACCTCTTAGGAGCATAGCCTCCTTCAGAGTAGTGGCTATCCACTCCTATAGTGGGGCAGCGATATTAGCCTTGAATTCGCTGACTGTGTGTTGCAGACCAGTGAAGGAGGATGTCTAGGCTCCTTATTGAGCATTGAGTTATTTTATGATTATACTGGTTTTGGGTGCCTGGACACAGCGGTATTGCAGGAAACTGTAAGGCTTATGAGCTTGCTAGAACAGGTACTTGAGTGTCAATAACTGTGAAATGGGAACGGGTAGGAGCTCCGTTAGCATCTTGTGGTTCAGTACTGGACGTTTGGGCCTCTGACCAAAGCAGAAAGCGTTAAATCGGAAAAAGATATATAACAGTTCAAGTGTGATCCCCCGTCATGCTGAGAGATCTGCCATCTAGCCCAACCTAACCTATCACCAATGGTAAAGAAAATGTTTATGTATTTAAATTTAAAGCAGATTTAATGCTTTTTTTCGGTGAACCATTTTTTCTTCGCA